GACCACTTAATCCATTTATGTTTAAAGTTATTATTAATAAGTACTTGTTTGTAGCCATTTTTATTCTTATGCCTGTGTTCCTTCTTCCCTTTCTATTTCTTCTTTTTAAAACAAGCCCTTTAGTATTTCTTGCATTGCTGGCTTGGTTGTGATAAACTCCTTTAGCCTTTCTTTGTCTTCAAAGCTCCTGATTTCCCCTTCAATTTTGAATGATAGCCTTGCTGGACAGAGTATTCTTGGATTCAGTCCCTTGCTTTGCATCACTTTATATACTTCATCCCATTCCCTTCTGGCCTGATGTATTTCTGTTGAGAAATCATTTGATAATATAATGGGAGATCCTTTGTAGGTAACTCTCTGTCACTCTTTTGCAGCCTTTAAGATTCTCTCTTTATCATTAATGTTTGCCATTGTAATTATGGCGTGTCTTGGTGTGGGTCTTTTTGGGTTCATCTTGTTTGGGACTCTCTGTGCTTATGTGACTTTCTTCCCCAAATCAGGGAGGTTTTCTGTCATTATTTTTTCAAATAGGTTTTCTAATCCTTGCTCCTCCTCTTGTCCTTAAGGCACCCCTATTTTACAGATGTTGCTTCATTTTACGTTGTCCCAAAGCTCCCTTAAGCTCCTCTCCTGCTTTCTAATTTTTTCCCCAATTGCTGTTCAGATTGGGTGTGTTTTTCTGCCCTGTCTTCTAACTCACTGATTCAGTCCTTCACTTCTTCTAGTCTACTGCTGAAACCTTCCATTGTGTTTTTTATTGTAACTGTATCATTCTTCATTTCTTCTTGGTTCTTACATATGTTGTTGATTTTTCTCATCCAGCCAGTTTAGGAACTTTATGACCCTTACTCTGAATTCTTTTTCAGACATATTGCTTTCCTGAATTTCATTTAGTTTATTTTCTGATGATTCCTCCTTTTCTTTCCTTTGTGGGTTGTTTATTTGTCTCTCCATTTTTGCTGTCTCTTTGTATTTGTTTCTATGTAATGTGAGTTGCTGTCACTTTCTGGCCCTGGGAAACCTGCTTGTGGCCTGAGAATTTGAAGCCCTTAGCGATCCAATGGTCCAGGATTCCTTAGTCCAGAGGCTAGGTCTGCCTTCAATTTCATGCCTTTGTCTCTGCTCTGAGTTGTGTTCCTTTCCCCTATGGATCTGGTTCCTCAGTTGTCCAATGCAGGTGCTTGGGGTCAGCAGGAGCACGTACACACTTCTTCTGGTATATGACTCCATCAGGGTCCCTGAAGCACTGATTCCAGGTGTGTGGCAACAGGGTGAGCTGGGTCTGGGCATGCAGAGTCCCTGAAACTCCAGGTCCAATGGGGTCCTAAAGTGCCCAGTCCCTGAAGCGGGAGCCCTAGATGCAGGGACCAGTGCACAGAGTCCAGTTGTGGTGTTGCTGGTGCTGGAAAGCAGGTGGTCCCTGAAGCTCCAGATCAGGCATGCAGGATGCGGACCAGCATGAGGTCCTGAAGCTCTGGGTCCAGTCACGCAGTGTCCACACACATAGGGTGCTGGCACAGCGACCAATCACTGGTGTGTGGGGGTCCTTGAAGCCCCAGGTCTGGGCATGCAGCCACCGGGAGTGTATGGGGTTCTGAAGTGCTGGGCCAGGCCTGTGGCTACCAGGCATGCTGGGTCCGGGCATGGAGTGTCTCTAAAGCTCTGGTTCTGTGCATGAGGAATGGACACACAGTGTCCAGGCGAGCCAGGTCCTAGTACATGGGGTGCTGGCATATGGGTTGCTGGCACAGCGGCTGGGCACTGGAGTGCTTGGGATCCTGAAGAGCCACATTCAGGCGCACCACCACCGGGTGCTCACAGGGTCCTGAAAAGCCAGGTCAGGCATGCAGGGGAGACGCAGAATGTTGGAAGTCTCTCTGTCCTGCTGTCCCTCCTGGGAGCTGCCAGCGAGGTAGGGTGCCACTCACTGCATGGGTAGCAGATGAGCAACCACTGCGTGGTGCGGGGTGGTGTCAGGGTGTTGATGTCACTGTGCTATTGGCCTCTATTGCTCCCCCTTCAAGATGGCATAGGCTCTGCCCCAAGCCAGCAGCAGGCCCATTTCAGTAGCAGGGCTCCATGTCCAGGAGAGCCCTTTCCACCAGTCCCCAGACTCCTGTGAGATCTAACTGTCCCTCACTCACCCACACACACACCACACCCATCCACACCCGCCCCTCTTGCTCCTTTACTCACTCACACGCTCCCCCTCACTGCCATCCTGCTGACCACCACGTTGGGATATCCCATAACTTAATTTTAGTTGCTTTTACAATAATCTTCAAAAAGAAATCAATTTCTCTGATGGTGCATGAGTTTTCCTCCATCCTTTCCAATAATACATTACACTACTCTCATTTTAAAAACAAGTATAACTTCTTTATTTCCTATAACTAATTTTCCTCCAAACTCTGCACTACTGGGCTGAAAAAACGTCAGTCTAACTCAGTGACTTATTCATGTTCTGGATGAGTCAGTCTTCCAGGCATCTCTTCTCCTTTTATTCTTCAAAATTATATGCATGTGGGTGGGAATTTAGGAATCTCTTATGGTAGGTGAATATAGAGACCTCCAGTCTATGTGGTGTCCTATGGAATTTTTGCCTCTGTGGTAGAATACCAAGACTGACCTGAGTGTGATTATTTATGGCCCATGTAGCACAATGTACTGGTAGCTCATCTGTTAGAAATGTGATTCTGGCTACTTTTCTCATCTGGGTCTCTGCCGCTGTCTGGCTCTCTGAGAATCTTTAGCTTTCACAAACACTTAGAAAGTTCTGCAAGCTCTGACTTTTAAGACACAAGGAGCCAGTACACTGCCTTAGGCCCATTTATCTAGCTGCCTAATTTTGCCAGTACCAGTGCCACAATTACACACTGTTGGATATTTCTACATGATACCCTGAATGATTCTGCAGGGTCTCCCTGAAATTGGAAAACCTAGGATCCATGTACCTGTTCTCCATCCCTTTTATTCTATTTTTACTGTGGGTCTAGGAGTGTGCCTTTCCTCCTTGTCTTTCTTTCTAGAATAGACTTCCTTTCTAAAATGACATTTGCATTGTTAGCTTCCCTAATTTAATGTAATCATTTTGTCAGTCTTTTCCAAGAAATCCTTTCATACCCAGAGTCATAAAGATAATAATCTTATAATTTCTTCTAAATTTTATGTATGTCCATTTTTACATTTGGATTTTCAATAAGCATAGAGTTGATACATCTGTTTATTATGAGGTAAGAACTTAATTATTTTCAATAGGAAAATGGAGCTATTACAATCATTTATTGGATAGTTTGTTCTCTGTTGGCTTCTAATTCCACCTTTGTTTTACACCAAGTTTCCATTGGTGCATGAATCTGTTTCTGGTGGTCTTTTCTGTTTTATTGGTCTTTTTTCATTTATTTCTTCTGCTAATACCACAATGTTTTTACTCATTATTGCTTTACAACAAGTTTTAATATGTTAGTCTTATACCTATACCTGTTCTTTAGTTATTCTTGTCACTTTGCTCTCTTCTTGAATTTTAAATTATTTTGTCAAATCCAATGAAAATTTTTGTTGGGATTTAAAGAGAATTTTGTTGCACTTACTGATGGATAAGGAGGCTTGAATAAACATCTACTTCCAATGAGTAGGCAATTGAAATAATATATGTATGATTTCTTTATAGATACTTATATTAGTCTTACTTTATACATGAAGCATTAAAAATTCACTAGAATTGATATGGATATGGAGTTTTCATTGACTTAATCTGCAACAGGATGTACACTTTTAGTTTTCATATTGAGTTACTTTTATCTGGTTATTTTATTTCACTATGTAGTTAACTAAAGGCCCGGTGCATGAAATTCATGCACTGGGGTGGGGGCGTTTCTCAGCCCAGCCTGTGCCCTCTTGCAGTCTGGGACCCCTCACTCCTTACCCCTCACATGCAGCAGAGGTGAGAGAGGCTTCTGCCACCGCTGCTGTGCTTGCCAGCTGTGAGCCTGGCTTCTGGCTGAGTGGCACTCCCTCTGTGGGAGCGCACTAACCACCAGGGGGCAGCTCCTACATTGAGCGTCTGCCCCCTGGTGGTCAGTGCACATCATAGCGACCAGTTGTTCTGCCGTTCGGTCAATTTTCATATTAGGGTTTTATTATATAGGATTGTTTCTTTTCTATACTATTTATTTTCCCTTTCAGGAACTCCTATTGTGCTTGAGTGTAGAATTTCTCAAGTTATGGTAGACTTTCTGAAAATTTATGTTATACCTTTGTTTTTTCCTGTGGTTTCTAATTTAGTATTCCTTGCCTCAAAATGGCTTTCATTTTGACAATCATAGCTTTCTGAAAGACGGTGTTCATGAATATTCAGCTGATGGTGCTGGTCTATAGGAAAGGGAGGGCTCATGTTGAAGGAAGGACAAATTACATGGGTCATTGTCATCTTCATATCTTGCCTCTTTGAATTAGGAGTTTACTGTAAGCCCTCATGCTTTTTTAGTTGCACTACACTTTGTCTAGAAATAGAGGAATTAGAAGAATAAAGGATTACTTGTCTTCTTTCAGTGACTTCCTTTTTCCCTTTTCATCAGCACTATAGATAAGAAAAACTACTTTTTCTCTTCTGATTGGTAGTCAGCATCCATCTCTAGTGCTGCTGAATATTTTTCCAAGTTTTATATCCTTATGGTTATTTCAGTGGGAGTTTAGCATGAGGGGTAAAGTAGAAGGATAGGATCTTGTAGATCTGCTTTTTTTCTTGACATTTTTGTTCGTTATTATTTCAGTTGTTGGCATTGTTGCAATAATTTCTATTTTTTGTAGGTTTTGAAGGGAGGAGGGATGAAACCAATGTTATTACATATTCCATTATTTTCTTAGATGAGCTACATACTAAGGGTATCAACATATAGATAATTCATAGTGGCAAAATTTAGAGTATCAACTATCTTTTTTCTTTGCTGTTTTAATCACAGAGCTTTCATTTATGGTAAATATCTCTTTTTTTATTTCAGAAATTGGTCTTAAGTGGAATAACCTTTGGACACGGGCCAGCCTTGAGGATAACCTCATATTTGGCTATATGATGGGAATGCTTTTACTTGATGCTTTCTTGTATGGCCTTGTGACATGGTATATAGAAGCTGTCTTTCCAGGACAATATGGTGTGTCCCAACCATGGAATTTTTTTCTTATGGTGAGTTCTAATGCTGCTGTTATTGTGAAAGGTCATAGTTCTTATTTCACAAAATAAAATCAAAAGGTCAGGTGCAGAAAATCATTTTCATCTGTATACCAGCTATACTGAAATGCTAGCCATTTCATAATCTACCTTAAAGCCTTACACATATGCAAATGCACCTATCTATGGATAAGACACTGACATCCCATACATTAAAAATTATGAGGACTATAACCCTTCTTTAGTCAGGCAGTACGTAGTGAATTTGATTGGAGAATAAAGCAACCTAAAAGTCTCTGCAAAAGTTCTTCCCAACTAAATTAATATGTGATAGTTTCTTAGATCCTAGTGAGAAGAGCATTAAGTATTGCTCTTGCCTGTGTTCTCACCACCTGATTATTTTCAATTGCTAGAGTCTAGACCAATGTACTTACAGTAGGATAACATCTGCATTTTAAACCTCCATGCCCCCTAACCATTACTGGATAATGGTACAAAGAAGTGCTCTGATCAAGTCTAATAAAATGCATTGGCTATGACCTCATTTTTTAATAATTCCATTATGTCCTTACTTCTTGAACACTAGCATTTTAAACGTTTTTGCTTCCAAACCCTGGAGTTTCAAATCATGCACAATTTGCTGCAAAATATAATCTTTGAAAATATGCTATAACTTTATCCATCTCACAAAATAAACCAAGCCAAAGTGTTTTCAAGTTCTTATAATGACTCATTTCCATTTTTCACATTTTAATTGTAATTCAAATGGAATTCATATAACTTAGGGCAATGGTCAGCAAACTGTGGCTCGCGAGCCACATGCGGCTCTTTGGCCCCTTGAGTGTAGCTCTTCCACAAAATACCACGTGCGGGTGCGCACGTACAGTGCGATTGAAATTTCGTGGCCCATGCGTAGAAGTTGGTTTTCAGCCTCAGCGAGTCTATTTTGAAGAAGTACTGTTGATATTTGGCTCTGTTGACTAATGAGTTTGCCGACCACTGACTTAGGGAAACATTCATATAACTTAAAATTAACAATTTTAGAGTGAACAATTCAGTGTCATTTAATATGATTATAATGTATGTGCACATATCTAGTTTCAAGATATTTTCATCACTAAAAAATAAAACCCTATATCAATTAAGAAATCACATCTTAATTTTCCCTATCCTAAACTCCTAGCAACCACTAATCAGTCAGCTTTCTTTATATATGGATTTAACTGTTCAGGATATCCTATATAATAAAAGCCTAATATGCAAATTGACTGAATGGTGAAATGCCCGGTTGCTATGATGGGCACTGACCACCAGGGGGCAGACACTCAATGCAGGAGCTGCCCCAGCCCACAGGCCCCAGGCCAGCCAAGGTGGGTGCCAGCGGAAGTGCCCCCCAGTCGCCCTACCGGTCGCCCTGCAGAGGGAGGTGACCAGCAGCGACGGTGGGAGGCAGGGCCAGTGAGCGGGTAGTGCCAGGCTGGCCAAGGCAGGTGCCAGTAGAGGCCCTCTGATTGCATTGCTGGTCACCCCACAGATTGGCCCTGGTCACCGGCCAGGCCTAGCGACCCTACCTGTGCACAAATTTTGTGCACCAGGCCTCTAGTTTCATATAAACGGAATCATACCATATGTGACCATTTATGTCTGCTTTCTTTAACTGAGCCTAATTTTTTTTAGTTTTATCCATGTTACAGTATGTATCAGTACGTTATTATTTTAGATTGCTGAATAACCCTTCATTGTATATATAAAAAACAACTCCTATATCTGTTCATCTGTAGTTGAACATATAGGACATCTTTTGGCTAATTTTGAATAGCTATGTTATAAATATTTCAATACAAGTATTAGTTTGAATACTTATTTCAATTCTTTGGGGAATATACTTAAAAGTAGAATATCTCATTCATATGCTAATTCTGTGTTTCATATTTTCAAGAACCACAAAACTGTTTTCCACAGTGTCTGCACCATTTTACATTCCCATAAGCAATATACAGGGTTCTAATTTCTAAACATCCTAACAAACACTTGTTATTCTCCTTTTTTCTTTTATTGTAACCATTAGAGGCCTGGTGCACAAAAATTTGTGCACTCGGTGGGGGGAGTCCCTCAGCCCAGCCTGTGCCCTCTCGCAGTCTGGGACCCCTCGGGGGATGTCCACCTGCTGACTTAGGCTCACTCCCCGGGGGGTTGGGCCTAAGCTGGCAGTCAGACATCCCTCTGGCAGCCCGGCAGCCCTCAGGGGATGTCCACTTGCCAGCAGGGAGCAGCCCTAAGCTGCAGTCAGACATCCTTAGCGCTGCTGAGGAGGAGGTGGGAGATCCCACCACCACCACTTTACTGGCAGCCGTCGGCCTGGCTTGTGGCTGAGCAGAGCTCCCCCTGTGGGAGCGCACTGACCACCAGGGGGCAGCTCCTGCATTGAGCATCTGGCCCCTGGTGGTCAGTGTGTGTCATACTGACCAGTTATTCCCAGTCGTTTTGCTGTTAGGGTAAATTTGCATATTACCATTTTATTATATAGGATAGAGGCCTGGTGCATGGGTGGGGGCCGGCTGGTTTGCCCTGAAGGGTGTCCTGGATCAGGGTGGGGG